AAGAAACATGGCCATTGAATGATTGGTTCACATTTTTTTCAACACTCTTTATATAATGCTCACATGTATATTCACTTGATATTTTAGAGATAGCATTGGAAGACTATTTGAAGTTATCACAGTAATAATTTCTCTCTTCACAGGCTGCTAATCTTTGCTCTGGAAACTACAAGGTAATCACTTGGGGGAAAAATCACGTTCTGTGCAAAAATGCAAACTTAAGGTTCAGAAGCTGTTATTAGGATTCAGACGTTTGACTTAGACAAATTGGGCGAGTGTCTGCCAACAATATGGTGGCTTTGGTTTGGAAATCCTGCTGTGAATTTTCGCCAGTCCACGTTTCCTTGCTGAGCTGCATCAGAGGTATTAAGAAGGTTTTGAACTCAAACGGCTGTAACTGTAGAATGTAAGCATTTCATTATGGTCTCATGTGGTAACCACTCACATTGTATCCCTTTCTGATTTATTTATCTTCAGCAGTTAAAACTTTCAACCTATGTTCTCCACCACATTTCAGGGGGAAATCTTATAATTCTTATTAAAATTACAGCTGTTTCATTTCATATGTTCACAATGTTCTGCTGTTGTTTTTTGTAAGTTGAGGCATCAGTCAGACCTTGCGTGGCCTTTATGACGTACAAACATTAAAACATCAGAGGTACGTAATTTGTACACATTGCTTCCAAATTCCACTTCCACTTTAATTCAAGTAATGAAATAAATAATAATAAATCAGTTCATTCACATGCAGACTTTTTAGCCCTAAGGATATTGATTTGGTTGAGTTAAAAAAAACACTTAGTGCACATGTTACAAAGTTTCCTGTGGTGCAGTAAATTAACCTGCTGATGCTGTCGCTGATACGTCATAATCACCTCAGGGGTCACATGGAATCAAAGAAAATCAGAGGGTGGATGATAATTTATTTGCATGGTTTCTTTTTAAATTTAACTTGTATGTTTTAGCTTTTGGGGGGATTATGGATGGAATAAGATATTGAGGATTGCTTTTAGATTTGATTTGATTTCTGGAAATAATCTTTCAGCCTGCCTTATCTCACCCCCCCTCCAGGAGGTCTCGGCTCCTAGTTTGAGAACTACTGGTTTAGAGAAGTCACACCAGGAACAGCACTGGTATATTAAAAGAAGAATGATGACTGTCATGGTTTATTATAGGATAGGAAGCCATTGATGATGTTAATTATAATTATTATGTTAAAGTAAAAAGTGAGATTATCATGAGGTGCAAATAAATAATAGTATTATCATTTTTTAAGTTGTGCAAAATAAAAACTGTTTATAAGTAAAGGTATCTCATCATCATATCTTATCTCTCCAGTGCCATATCCAATCTAGGAAACTGTTGATTGTCTCTTTCATGACCCATGTGATGCATTGGTGTTGCTTCTCCACTTGCAGGTTGTTTCCAGGTTTTGCCTAGTTTGCCCTTTCTCTGTTTAGTGTTACCTATTTCTCTCTGATGAGGGTTGTTCCACTGGGTCGCTCTCCACATCTGCAGTCTATTGGCTGCTGCCTGTGTTGGATGCAGGCTTTCCACTGCACTGATGACCACGGATACCTGGCATCATTTAGTTGTTTGTGTCTTTCAGGTTTTGTGATTGTCTCTCGTTGGATGTGAGTCGGTGGTAGCTTATTTTGACTGCAGTGCAAACTCATAGACTTAACTCTTATGGCCTGCACAATGTTGCTAATTTCCTTTGTGATACTTTCAGTTAAAGTATGTCACTGGTTCCTCATTCACTGTATAGGACGAACGTGTTTTAAAAGCTTATATTTCAGTCAACACTTTTGTTAATGTGTGAAGTACCTCACAGGTGACACTGGGTGTCGCTCCAGAGTGTCTAATATCGCTCCTGTGCGTTCATTCCGTCTCTATCGCCCCCTCTCTCTGCCTTGTAATGTGTGTGTGCGTGCGTGTGTGTGTGTGTGTTGTGTGTCGGATAGAAAGTCAGCCTGGTTTCCAGCTGAGTGCTTGCTCTCTCACAGAGAGTGTGTGTGTACGTGTGTGTATATGTGTGTATGTGTGTGTTGTCATTATTATCCACTCTGCTCCCAGCTCAGAATGGCCAGATTCACTCAGACTGAAACAAGAAGGCAGCAGCACCATCCTCAGCAGCCCCATCAGCCCGCTCACTCCAGCCTGGTTTTCACCGGACCGGGGGCATCACCGACCCAGCCACCACTCCTCCTGATCCCACATCAGCACCAGTACCCTCAGATCACATTCCCGAAACCCATGAACGGGTCAGAACCCATATCAATTCATCCGGAGAGCGGCAACATGAAAGACCAAGATGCCATTAAGCTGTTTATCGGGCAGATACCGCGGAACTTGGAGGAAAAAGACCTGAAGCCGCTGTTTGAACAGTTTGGGAAAATCCACGAACTGACAGTTCTCAAGGACCGATACACCGGCATGCACAAAGGTAACGTGTCGCCCCTCACACGGCTGCGAGGCCCACACACAGCTCTGTAATAACTGTTTATCATCACCTGCACCTTTTGGACACGTTTGCGCCGAAATGGTGACGCGTATATTTGTCACTTTAAGAAAAATACATTTGATCAAGCGTGATTCAGAGATGAAATCGGTCCATTCATCACTATCATCATGTGCAGCATTGCTTATAAATATTTTTCATCTAACATTCACGAGGTTTGGCATTTTGACCCAATTCTCCTCATTTTGTTTATTCACATTTTTGTTATTTTACGCGTAAATACGCATGGATTTTTTTTACGCGTCTTTGTGTTTCCACCTTCCTAATTCCACTTTTTAGATCATGTGGGGGCGGCGGCGGGGGGGGGTTACAAGAGTAAGCTACAAGGACTGATAGGATGTCAAACTGTGTTGTGTGCGTTCTTGGTTTTATTGCAATTGAAGAGTATTTTCTTTACGCGCTCTTAAGTGGGGCAGAGGCGCTCGGAGGGGCTGCATTTTTAAAGAGCCCCCCAACCCCTCCGCCATGGTCCCATCTCTTGCGGCATTATTTATTCATCCATATGCTTTCTTTAACATCCCACACACCACCATGTGCGAATGGAGCGGGCGGACACTTGCTGCGAAATCGGTTCAGTGCCACGGCGTCTCCAAAGGGCGCAGGAGCTGCCACAAGATGACGGACGTCGCCGCGCCGAAAGTGGCTAGTGATGCTGCGCCGCTTCCGCTGGAATGGAAGACTGGGGGGGGGGGGTAAATCCACGCAGCTCACAAACTATATATGTCCACACAGTGACAACTTTCAATTATGAAGTTGGTTAGCAAGGACATAGCCCATAGGCGAGAGATCACTGCCTGCATGGATGAGAAAATACAATTCACAATAGACGTAGAGATGGGGAGACGTCACCATCATCGTCATCATCATCATCATCATCATCATCATCATCATCATCACTACAACGCCAACTTTAATTTTAAGTTTCATTCATATTTGCACAAACTGAAATAAATGATCCTTCTGGCTGTATGAGAGTTGATCTAAATAATGACCCTGTGACATTTGGGCCACGTTCATCAACATTTACAGTAAAATATCACAAGTGTCATAACTATTGGTTTTATTGATATAATAATTTGAACATATGGGGTCAGTGCACTGTTGATATCGTTTACAACACTGTAATTCAAAGAGCTGTGACGGGCTTTATTCTTTTGCATCACATTTATGATTTTAATGTGTGATTCTCAAACTGCCCCATAGTTGTTAACAGATCAGAAACACAGCACACACACACACACACACACACACACACACACACACACACACACACACTCTCTCTCTCTCTCTCTCTCTCTCTCTCTCTCTCTCTCTCTCTCTCTCTCTGAATGCCATTTTAGATCCATCATCTTGCACTCCTGCAGAGCAGATGTTGATATGTGATTGATGTTGTTACAGATAAGCCTTTTATTGCAGTGGCATTTGGAAAAGACAAATAACAATCTGTGCCAGTAATGTAACTGCCATTTGCAAACACTGCAAACAATGTCATGTCTCCTATGACATAAAGAGTCACCATCAGAGGATGTGGAATTGGTTACTGTTACACTCAACTGTCATGAAGCCCACGCATTTAATCCAGAGTGAGATTAAAATAAATGTATTTTAATAAAAAACATGTGCATGCCAAAGCTGATATTAAGATCTAAAAATATTTCCCACACACGACCACAAAATGTTAGTTGATTTAGGTGTTGCACCACATACAGCTCCCATTACGCCACATACTATATGAGGCCACATGCCTGGATAGCGACCGCTCCTGCTCTTAGACTTGATATTGTCAGCTTGTGGACAGAAGGACATTTTTTTCGTGTATCACTCATTTGGCATTCGTCGCTATGTGTTTGCGTGTGCAAGTGTGCATACTTGAATGTAATTTCCCTGTGTTGCGTAATGTATTTAGCTCCTGAGTGATTATCGCTTCATCATGGTGTCATGGAAAAGACAGTTAAGGCTCTTAGATGTGTTTTCATACAGACACAATAGAGCTTTAATAGAGCTTAAGTGTAAGTTATGACACAACATGTACAAATAAGATATAAATGTTTTTTATTTGTAGTAGTATTTTAGCGTATATAACCTAAATGACTTATTATTTTTGATAGTTTTCTGCCTTTTATTGAAATAATTATCATTGGCTTGTTGCATCCATCTTTCTCTGGTGTTAAAGTAAAATAACTGAAATATATTTTTAATTAAAGGTGCAGTATGTAGAATTTTGTGATATCTAGTGGTGAAGTTGCATGTTGCAGCTGAACACCCCTCACCTCACCCTCTCTTTCCAAACATGTAAGAGAAACTGTGGCAGCTTCAGTTGTCATAAAAACTCAAAAGGTGTTTAGTTTGTCCAGTCTGGACTAATGTAAAAAACATGGTGGTCACCATAGAGAGGGTCCCCTCAATGTAAATATAAAGTATTTCAATATAAAGGGATTTAAATATAAAGGGAGGTAATGAAAACTACAATTCATACAATTTAGATGAAACGAACTAGTGAAAACATCATGAGGATTATTTTACATTAAAGACATTGAAGACATTTTATCCTGTGAACTTTATATACATTTTATGTCAGTCATATGTTTGGTTATCATTTATTCAGTTTTTAATAAAGTAAAGAAACCATCTTGTTTAATGCAGATGGATGAGATAATCTCTGTGAAGTAACTGAGTATAATTTAAAAAGTTCATTCTAAAATCTCCTCAAAGTGATTTTTTACCCTTATTCATTAACTTACAAACAACTAATTAATTTCAGATAAGTCAGTGAAATTAATGGCTTAGAATGTAATGAATTCTGGCCACACAATTAACAATACATAATCAAACCCTAATATGTCAATGATCTCTGATGGGGGTTATTTTATAGTTAATCATGTTATTAAGCAGAAAGGATTAGAAATATGGATCCTGATGGAAACAGTGGGGCAGCTGCCTCAAAGAGACACAGTCAGACTGACAGAGACGTTAGTGGACAGAGGGACGAGCACACACACACACACACACACGCACGGTTTTCATCATATGAAATTTTGAGCATTTGCAGACATTGCAGTTATTTGATTTGAGCTTTGCATGTTTATTATTTCCTCTTTTCTTACACAACTATTTTGTCCTCCTTTGGTAATCCACGAGGGAGAACACGGAATTAGTTTGTAAAGCGTGATAATAATGCACGGCCATAATAACTTGACTCAAGAGGATTAGTAAATGTGCATTGTCTGAAGCAGCAGTCTCTTGGGTGATCAGCTGGTTGCCTCCCTAAACAGTGGCTGCCTCTGCCAATTAAAAATTCAGTCTAGTCTGCCTCTTCAAATGATTAATTCTGCCCACGCTGTCGATGGCCTGCCAATTATTGTCGCCCAATTGGTATTAATAGGTGGAGGATTTCCTGATGTTGAATTTATCCCAGACTGTGAAAACTTCTCCCTTTGGCTCTAATTAGCTTCCACTTATAGCACATGCACTTCCACGTTCATGCACATGCATGTATGCAGAACCGAGGCTAATCGGCTGTCATGAAGAAAGTAATTTTTTTCATGTGTTTACATTGATGCTTTTCAATTTTTTTTTCTTTAATCGATGGTTCTCCTTTGAAAAACTGAACGCGCCCTCGGAGTGACGCTGAGTCATTTTCAGTGGAGATGTTTGTTGAATTGCTCTGTTTGTCAGGACAGATTATATCCTATGAGTTTGATTGAGATTGACTAATCTTCCCTCGTGCAGTTGAGTAACGTGCACTCAAAGGAGAGAGAGGGAGAGAAAAGGTTTTTTTCTCCCCACAGGTGTGATTCAGCAGAGAAAAAAAAGCATGGAAGACAAAACAAACCCTACGCTGCTCCGCTCCTCCAGCCGAGGCAGCCCAGTAATGTTAAGATAGTGTCGGGCATAATTGTGTTAATGCATTAATAAGTGGACCAGAGATATTGCCGTAGACCTCAGCCAAGCAGACGCACATTAAATCACAGAATAATCGAATGAAATATTTATTCAAGTTTTTATTTTTTTTTCACCCTCTGAGTCAGTCTGATGGATAGCATTCCTCTGTGGGTTGTCCTCCCAATAAATGGCAGAGAAGGGAGGAAATAGGAATAGTTGGAGCAGCCTATGCATCAAACCGAAATGACTCGGTATTAATGAGAGACTGATCTTTTATACTGTACATACATATATATATATATAATGCAACCTGAGAGGCATTAGCATTGATAAATGAGGCTTTTGAAGCCTCTCTCTCCTCTTTGATATGATGGAAGTGTAAGTTGATGTGCACGTCTCTGTTTTTGTGGGATCCTTAAGTGTCAAAGACCAGGACACTGCTGTAGAACAGCCTCCCCTGCAGGAACAGATGGAATAAATTCACTTATAGACCACAAACAGAGCTGTAGAAGAGATAGGGATAGTGATTATATAGATACAATGTGGCATAGATTAAGGCCTTTTCCTGTACAACCATTGTGTGGTTGCTAATGAAATTAATATAGGTAAGAGGAAATCATATCAGTAATAAGAGAGTAAAAACAACTCGCAATTTTGTGCAGAAAATCCAGAATAAAATCTTTTGTCAGGGCCGGTGAGTGAAGGCCACCGAGCCAAGCTAATGCAGTAACAACACTTGCTTCACAATCTTTAAACGTCTGTAAATATTGTAATAAGCAACAGGGCATTCCTCATAAAAGATGCAGCAGCTCAACTGGTACTGACAGGCGCTATGGGCCTTGACTTCAAGATGAGGAGCGCTGCCTCCCACTCTCTTCTCCTCTTTTCTGTTGGTTTTCCAAGGAGATTGCCAATCTCAGATGCCGACAAGGCCGCTCTATGCTGGAGGTTAGTGTCCCGCACCGAACTCACCTGGCTTTCATTCTGTCTCGGCTTCTTTCCCCTCTTAATCCCCTGCCCATGAGAGCCTTTCAGATGGATTG